ATTTCATCACCTCAGCCCCAATCATGGTGGGCCTGAGGTGGGCATTGCCCTTCATTTGGTACCTACACTTTTTCTTCATAGAAAATATAGTGCCCCCAATGTCATTAAATGCATCTCCCAGAAATGGGTTTTTCCATCTTGGGAACACTGCATATATCTGTACCTGAAATACAGTAGCTATATAGATATATTATCATTCATGTTTCTTATTGAGTCATTTCATGCCAAATCATATAGTGGTCCCAAGGTGACCCTCTTAGATTTTGCTAAAAATTCACAAAAATACTGTAAATGCTAGTGCCACTCTCGAACAAACGCTGCACCAAACCTGTCTCGCTTTATCTAGAGTTTATTATTTTTTTTCACTGCTGCATTTTGCATAGATATTTGTTTTCATTTTAGCCTATATTTTTTTTATTGGAAATAGTTGATATTGGAAACAGTTCGAAGCTGAAAATTACTACTCTGTGTATTTTGAGGCCAGTCTTTCAGAGTCTGCAAAATACTGCATCTTGATTCACTGAAAAGTAGGTATCTCAAATTGTTAGTTCATTTCAAGCTGAAATGATTTTTCAATATTTCAGACTATAGCACCTATACTGTACCATGTATCTGAGATGTCCAATTTGCAGACACATTACCTCTAGTTAGTGCTGTATGCAATCAAGCAAGTACCAATCAACTAATCAATGAGGTATGGGTAGACCCCTAAAACACAGACCAGACATAAAAAGAGAAAAATGGTTACTTTCCAGTGGACAGTTGACCATGTGGTTTTGAAACATGCACAATGGGAATATATGTACCAGAACTATATATGACACAAATTCCAGCAATGTAACTCAATTCCATCATGGTTAGGTATTTTTATCGTATATTTCCTCATTATTAATATGAAACAATTTTTTTGAAGATCAAACTTCGTAAGTCAAAGTCGTTCCGAGACACTGATCATTTTGGTAGAACCCAGTTTGTTTTGTAAATAATTCTCAATAAAATCAGTCAGTGAACAATGAAATGAGAGTGAAGCATAAATAACAAATTTTCATAGGGTTATTATGGCTCAAATCGGCCAGAAATTTAAAAGTGCGTCTGTGACCCCTCTTGGATTTTCCTTTAAAAAATTCTAAAAATACCTTGTTATGTCAGAAGAAAGAGTCCAAAATTTCAGTTTCAATTTTCAAACGGTTTTTGTTATGACCTTTTGAAATTGTGGTACCACGCCCCCTTTTTCATTACAGGAATGGCTCCTTTAAATTTGTATGGTATCATGAAGCTATATATTCTGGAATAATGAAGATAAAAAGTTGTAAATTGTTACTTACACAGATATTTGGTTCCTTTTTCAAGAAATACCATTAAAATTCGGGTAGCATATCTTATTAGAATGTTATATGCAAAAATTCCCCAAACCATTGTGCAAAAACAGATTTTCACTATTTCAGAGGGCCATATCTTATAAGTAAGAAAGTTAAAATTAAACATGTAATGAATATGTCATACTACTACATATATAACTAGATTTAAACTCATCACTGAGGACGAGTTAGGTGATCCGCCGCCTTTGACTCTCAGCAAAGAGCGTGCAGTACGGATTGGACAATTTTAAAATGGCATAAAACATGCTCTAATTTATTTATTTATATTTTTAAAGAGTAATTTTGAGCATTTTACTAGAGAGGGCAGCAGGCACCTTTTCTAGAACATCGGACAGTAGTGCCAGCAGCTAGCATTATTAACAAGATGACCTTGACCCAAACAAATGTCCTAATATGAGGCCACTGGAACTCAAGATGTTAAAATCATGTCTACAACTCATCTACTTTCAGAATACGTAATAAATTAGGGGTCACCATGCATGCTAAGGAGCTAAAACTGATGAAAGATACTGTCGTGTAAATTTACAGATTTGGAGAAAGATGAGGGGGTCCAAAAATCAGTGAGTGTTTGAGACCTAAAGATTTAACAGATGCATTGGTTTGATTGATTTCTGGGTTCTTTGTTAAATATTAGAAATTGCAAATCAACCTTCAAATTTAATTGTCGCTAATAAATATTTTGAAACAATATTTTTTCCTGTCTGTGGGCTAGTAAAATATTCTGTGGGCTAGTAAAATCTCTAGTAAACTAGCCCAGTGGGCTAGTTACCAAAAAATGGGCTAGTTACCAAAAAAAGTTATGGCAAGCCCTGTTGATGCATGCTTATGCCTGAATTTTATACCCAGTGAATATGATTTAAAAATGCCAATTGGTTATGGAATCGTCAAAGGTTTGAGGAAAAAAAAGATGAGGGAGGTGAGAAAAACCAAGTTCATTTTCACCATGATGATGTCATCAAAATGTACGAAGAAGTCACAATTATGAAAGAGAATTGTCTCAGCTATAACATACTCAAAGTTGGGAGATGATCGATCAAGAGTATCTTAACCATTCGTCATTTCTGAATCATACACAGTGGGCATAAACTTCAGGTCAAGGTTGAATGTCCTGTACCTTAATTATTTGTTTGCACATTAACTTGCGCGTATGTGTGCGTCAAAATTATTATATGCTTAAAATCATGCCTATTTTTAATCAGTTATAGCTCCTAAGGATGAAAGGTGACCCCCCCCCCCTTCCTCAATTTTGATTACATAATCTGAAAGCACATGAGTTAGTAAATATGATTTTATAGATCATAATGGCTGATCGGACATTGTGACATCACCATATTGGCATATGATTTCAAAGAAACTGAATTTTATCCATGACGTCATTTTTGAAAATGTGCATTTGAGCGTATCTCACTTATCCTTGATCGATCGTCTCCAAACTTTGAGTATGTTATATCTTAGACAATTCTCTTTTACATACTGTATGTGACTTCTTTTTACATTTTGATGACGTCATCATGGTCAAAATTTATTTATGACGTTATTATTATACTTATTTGAACGTATCTCGCTTATTCTTGATCAATCGTCTCCTACAGTACCTGTGAGTATGTTATAGCCGAGACAAATTCCTTTAACAATGTTAACAAACATTTTTCACTTTAATGACGTCATCATGGTAAAAATTAATGTTTTTTTCTAACCTCTCCCCCACTTCTTTCTTTCTTTAAATTTTTGATGACCCGAGAGAGGGCGTCATGACCTAATATTATTCTTCATATTATGAAAATCCTGGCTACAGTATTTTTCTATGTTTCACTTTTAAGCGCTGTGAGATTATTTTGCCTGACAAGCGGATCAACAAACTAGTCCTCAGTGACAAGTTCAAATCTAGTTAGAGCAAATAAGTAGATATGATGGGGTTTCGAACATAGTTGCTGGACCACTGACTCTAAAAATACCCTCTTACCTTAATCGGCCTGATAACCCCTTGACCTTGACCTCATTAATTATGCAATTTATACCAGTATACAGATACATATATCAGTGTGAGTAGAAAGTATAAACTCTGTTTTTCAACTCTTTATGTGTGAACTGATTTTTCAAAATAAACAGATTTTAACCCTTTCAGTCCCATAAGCGCTTTAAGCGCTCTCGAATTATCGTCAGTAAGTAATTAATTAATTAACAATAATTAAAAAAAAAAACGTATGTGCAGTAATGTGTGCATGTATTTTCATTAAATATTCGAGAAAATATCAAAAATTTTTATAAAAAAATGTTTCTTGGTGCTTTTTTAATTAACTTGAATGATTAGAGTAATTAAAAATATGAAATATGATCGTTATTTTTGTATTATGATACCCTTGAACGGGAAGGCGCCGTCGTCAACACTGATGAATAAAATCGTCTAAAAATACACTTTTTTTCAAAAAGTAACAAATCTGACACTTTCCTATAATATAAATATATATTCAATATACATACTGTACCAGTTTTGGTTATTATATCCTCATATTTCCACGTAAAATTAATGTTTTTTCTGGCTGAAAAAAAAACGTGGCTATCAACTTCGTCAGCGCCATCTTGGTTGTTTACAAAAATGAAAACAAACCCTGACATGACCGTTGAACTTTCGAACTTTTTGGTTTCCCTGTGACATGCGCAATCATGACGTTGAGATCCATCTTGTCAAGAGCTCGAAAATGACACCTTGATCGCCTATATTATCGTAATTATTCATATTTTTTATAATTTTTTTTTTATACCAACCGGATTTTTGAAAGATTATAGGTGCGTTTTCCCACGTCTTTGTATGGGCGCTAGACGAATAATTGATTTATGGATTTTACGTCGCGGGGTAAGTTAGGCTTTTTCAGGCTACGGTGCGTAGTGCAGTGAAGTTGACTAAACCGGCTCGTAGGCCTAGGGGAATTGGCTTAGGCCCCCCCTGAGGTGAAATTTTATATTATTTTTTATCTTCCGAAGTTTTTGATCAAAAATTACAAATTTAGTTTTATTTTGTAAAGGAATAATTTGTGCTGATTTGAAGATGCATTTATTTATTCTGACTGTTGAATTAGTATTTTTAATCTTTTTTTTTCAAAATTATTAATAAACAGGGCCTAAAAAATTATTTAAATAATTAATTTTTTTTATTATTTTAAAAATTTCACAACACTATATAACCACTTATTTAGGAAAAACATTTTATTATCTTTCAATTCTTATCAAAGGAATTTGTATTACTCCAACAGAAAAAATTATATTTAATTATTTTTATGTCACTAAAAAAATTTTAAAAAAAACCGAAAAACGTCAGGATGAATGGGTTAATGCATTCTGGATATCAGGTCGAAGTACTGACTTATTTGAGATTTGAACTTTGACCTGATATTTAGAATACATTAACATCTGTAAATGTATCATTTACTACCTTCACCACTCGTTTTTCCTGAGTTTGAAGATACATTTTCAGTGCCTGCAATTAAGATTACATTAAAAGATTAGGCTAAGACTGAATAATAATATTTATCAGCTAATTATTTGAATGATAAGTGTTGGGCAGGATATTGTGCCATAGGTCATTCCAGGTCATTACAATTGTAGCGTGAAATACCATAACTCTCTATGGGTATGGCAAGTAAATTTTGAAGCAGCAATGTAAAAAATGCAGGTTTCTTACTTTCTTAAATAAAATCTCCATAGGAAATTATTTTGTGTTTTTGTGTTGAAAAAATTGTCATTCAACAACCAAAAGTTCACTGTATGAAGAAAAGCTGTATATTTTTTATGTTAGTCTGTAGTTTACTGTAAGCAAAATGGTTAATGGTTTATACTGTATACAACAATTTACAGCATTCATTTATGTTAAATGAAAAAAAATCAAACCCACAAACATACATTGTTGAGTAAATGACATTATAAAGTTCTGCTACAAAATATAAAATACTCTACCAGTACATACCTGGGCTTGATTGCTCAATTATCTTTGCCCTCTTAATTTTGTTAGTAGATCCTTTCTGTTTCACCTTTCTCTTGCTGGTTAAATTTTCCGGTTCTTCATCATCTGTTTAAGAAATTGTGAAAATCTTGCCAAATTTAACATGTTTTAAAATGTTTACGTAAAGTGGAGTTCAATTCATCAGAATAACAAACAACAATTTACAGCATTCATTTACGTTAAATGAAAACAAATCAAACCCACAAACATACATTGTTGAGTAAATGACATTATAAAGTTCTGCTACAAAATATAAAATACTCTACCAGTACATACCTGGGCTTGATTGCTCAATTATCTTTGCCCTCTTAATTTTGTTAGTAGATCCTTTCTGTTTCACCTTTCTCTTGCTGGTTAAATTTTCCGGTTCTTCATCATCTGTTTAAGAAATTGTGAAAATCTTGCCAAATTTAACATAGCATAGAACAACAATTATTTAAACTTTAAAATGTTTACGTAAAGTGGAGTTCAATTCATCAGAATAACAAACAACAATTTACAGCATTCATTTACGTTAAATGAAAATAAATCAAACCCACAAACATACATTGTTGAGTAAATGACATTTTTATGTTCTGCTAAAAAATATAAAATACTCAACCAGTACATACCTAGGCTTGATTGCTTCACTGTCTTTGCCCTTTTAATTTTGTTAGTAGGTCCTTTCTGTTTCACCTGTCTTTTGCTGGTTAAATTTTCTGGTTCTTTTTCATCATCTGTTCAAAAAATTGTGAAAATCTTGGCAAATTTAACATAGCATAGAACAACAATTATTTATTATTCCTACAGTATTCATTATTCAATGTAGATTTTCAATCAAACACCCATTAGAGAAATACAGTTAATATATTTTATTGCATTATACTTTTGTACCAGACTTGTGATTCCATTTGTGCGTTAGAGTAGATAACAATGTGTGGTTGTAAATATTAAAGTGTTCCACTATTATTATTATTATTACTACTATTATTATTACTATAATTGGTATGGAAATAATGATGGTCTTATACATATCCCCTACAGAACTTCAACCTTTCTGAATTGGTATGAACCTTTTCCTTTTTTTGGATTGGATTAAAATTAATTGATAATTATAACATTTAAAATACAATAGCAAAATACAAAAAAGTCTCTATACGTTGTTTGGAAATGTAAAACAATAATAAAATAAAGGTGAAAGTTCCAAGCCAAGCCAGCACCCAAACCGCAGTATGGAGATACACCACCTAACTAACCAGGGATTGATTTAATTAAACCATGGTTAGTTCATTATTTGAGGCATGCTGTGGCAAAATGGCTAAGTTGTAGCAAAAATTGAAATTCAAGTTATTGGTATTTTCAAATACCTAAGTATGTGATCTTTAAAATGAGTGGTCATTCGTTCAAATTGGACATTTCAAACCTAAGTTATTGGAAAGTGAAAGTACAGTACTCTTAGAGTCAAGATAAACAGGATTTTGAGTAATTGCCTTTCAAAGTTATTTGTGCATACATTGTTTAATAGAATGAACTATAAAAAATAACGTTAAATAAACAATTTGTTAACCACTTCCGGAACTAATACTTCGAGACATGATTAATAAGACATTTAACTGTTGACCTATAGTGAAAAACAAATTTGGATTTTTTAGCAATTTTTTGAGCTCCCATATTTTATAGCTCATTTAATCAATACTGGACTGTGCGACAACTTTACCATTTCACCACAACATGCCTCATTTATCTTACCTTCAGTAAGAGCTTTCACGGCTGAATGGAGTTGGACTTTACGCAACTTTTCAACAAATGGCTCCATTTTTCCTTCACAAATTACTGTTCTGTGCTCCAGATCATTTATCAAATGCCAACTGTCTTCATATTTCTTTTGTGGGATGTTAAATGAACCATCAAAAGTTGCTACATCATTCCGAGTCAACGCCATTCCTAATTTTACAAGCTTTTGCCTGTGCGATGTAAATTTTGATATTTCAAAACTTCTAACATTTTGAAATAATGGAAGCAGCTTTTTATTTTTTGGTTTGAAACCAAATTGTTTTGTTACATTTACAGTGTCATACAGAATACCAAGATCAGTTGGACTCAGATTCCCAAAACTATGCAAGTTGTCCAGCAAGTCGCGCATTTTAGTAGCATTATGCAGTTTAGTAGCATCAGTCACATGATCTCTGTACAATACTTTCAGCATACTGATACAGCTATTTCGATCATACCATTCTGATATATCCTGCAACAGCTCATGGTATTCATCCTCAGAGATTTCTGGAAGTAATGTAGTAATAAATATACTAAATTGTGTTAAGTATGTTAATACTTCACTATAGCGGATTCAAGGCAGGGATGTACTCAGATTCTAAATCTGATTGAGGCCATTCTTTATCCAGTTGAACGAGAATTGATAAAACATAGTAAAATGCATATCATGAATTGTGGGAGATGGGTTATTTTCTGTGACATTCTTGCTTGCTCATGCAAGGTCTTCTGGATTTCTATGAGATTCTTGCGACTCGCACAAGATTTTCCTGAACATGCTGAATGCAAGTGAAGCTGTAGCTTGATACTTGCCTTCCAATTCCAGGGTCATGGGTCAAAACACTAGGATATTTTCATATGATATACATTAAAATATCTCCACTCCCTAAATTTCATAAAGAAACCTAGCTTATTTATGTATCTTGTGTTAAATGTTTGTCTTGTGGAATGGATTGCCATCTATGAATAGGACAGTGATATATTCACTATTGATAATCATTGGCACATGTGCCTAAACAAAAAACAATGAAAATATACATTATTTGTTCTACCATAAAATAATAATAATAAATGAAAAAAATGTTAAGAAACAGTTAATTTTAAATAAACATAAAATTCATAGGACCCCAGTTACCCCAAAAACATGCACTGTTTATTAATAACTTAAATTGTAAAACCAGATGTATTGATTATGTTTAAATAACATAAAAAGAAAGTTACTCCGAATAATGAGAGGGAGACCATGATTTAAAGTTTGACCTTTATTGGGTCATTCTTGAAAATACACACAATAAAGCTCAAGACGTTGATTCATGGCCTCCCACTCATTATCCGTAGTAATGTTTCTTCTGTGTTATTTAAAAATTGCATAGTTATAATACATACCTTAGTTTGATTGCTCAATTCACTTTGAATATTAAACTATTAATATATACAGTATAAAGTATATTTATTATTGAAAAGTGGGTTTCAATTTTAATTAACATATTTTAAATGGAAAACAAACGTATGAACCATAGATTACCACCCTGACAAACATGCATTGTTGAGTAATAACCTATTGTAACGTTATGCTACAAAATACAACACATACCTTGGTTTTATTGCTCAATTTTGTTCTTTTAACTTGTTTATTTTACTTATTGTTTTTCTGGCTCATTTTATGCCTAAGGTAAAGGCATAGAATAACCATTTATTTTTTACTTTATTTCTAGTAGAAACTTTAAAATGTTAAAGTAAAGTGTAGTTCAATTCATCACAATAACAAACAACAATTAACAGCATTCATTTGTGTTAAATGAAAAAAAAATCAAACCCACAAACATACATTGTTGAGTAAATGATATTATAAAATTCTGCTACAAAATATAAAATATATTATATACATATCCCCTGCTGAACTTCAACCTTTCTGAATTGGTATTAACCTTTTCCATTTTTAACTGAAGAAATTCAGGAAACTTTGTATGTGGATTAAAATGTTGATAATTACAACAATTAAAATATAATAATAATCAAATGTTTTTCATAACAATATTTGAAAGATTATTTAAATAATTTTTAAATTTAATTATTTCTTATTGAACTTTTTTTCTTGAAAACATTTACTGGATATACCCAGTAATAATTAAAGTTAACTCACCTTCTGATGCATCTCCTTCCATACTGTCACTCATTTTTACAACGGATCAATCTACGAGGATTGAAAAAAAGTTCAAGTTTTCCATTGATTAACATACATGTCAACACTACCGTTTTTTTTTTTACCTGACTCACGGCCAATTTTTTTTCTCACATTTTTTCACATGCTTTTTACAAAGAAAATTACATAGGCATACGGTACTTACATTTTAATATTTTCTTCTTTGTTTTTGCAATAAAATAGTCTACAAAAATACATCACTATCCATGTTATCATCCAATAATTTGCTTGGTGATAGAAAACTAGCAAGAGCAACGCTTCTAAAATCGTTTTTAAAATGGTGAATAATAACGACAAGAGTATTGTATAAAGAATAGTGACGTAGCTGGACCAGACCTTACGCTGACTAATTAACATCTCAACGAGATTTGATTGACAGATAAACCGACTAATCAACGAACGTTATTTTGTCACGTGATCAAAAACTTTTTCTTGGATATTTTCATTTTCCTTATAGCAAAGATACTAAAAACACATGATAAAGCACTCGCATAGTAAAAATAAGGTGGAAATCGTGCCCGACGTAGGCTGCGCCCTTCTCTTTAACCATGCAAGATTTCAATACTTCGTGCCCGACGTACAGGGCGCCCTTCTGTTGCTAAGTATTTCCAGACGCATACGGCGCCCTTCATTTTTCACTAATGGAGGAAAACCTTATCACTAGAGTGCGTCCGGCCATAAGATTTTGCGCTACAGTATATTGTTTTCTATACTGATCCATAGGCTTAATTGTGTGTTTTATTTGGATAATAACAACAATTTCTACCTCCACCAAGGAATTATTTATTCACAGTTGTCACTGTCTGGGTACAATTGTACTAATTGTACAATTTTGTACAATTTTTTAATTGAGAATTGACAATAAAATACAGTACGCAACGACTTGGCAACGAAAGTTTGGTTGAAGTTTTTTTAGATTTAGCAGTAAGGGGCGTCCCATTGTTTGTATTCCCACCAAGCATTTCGGTGGAACACTTTTTTCGTGTGGAGAATTCTATCTTGTGTTTCTAGTATCTTTGCTTTGCGAAGCATACGTGAGCCTAGCCTAGATGTTTATGTAGATACACAGATTTACGCGAGCAGTGCGCATCAGCGACTTGGCCTTTGCCGACAACAAGGTTGACTGAATGCGGCTATTCCCTCTTCCTTTGGGAGTGAAATACAGAGCCTTTTACCACAATTTCCCCACCATGTTCCATGAAATAGATTAACACTATGAATATATAATTCATTTGCATACCACCTACCCTGAATTCTCTTTCCTAAAGAAGGTTGTTAGCAAAGAAAATGTTCGCCAACTCGGTAAGTCTAGTTTTGGAAGGGGTCAGTGAACACTTTAATAATTGCTATCTTTTCCATTGAAGCTACAGATAGCATACCACACACATGCCCTTTCTTTTATCATTGCTGATTTTCTGATGACTTCAAACATCACTATCTCCCTCCCCCCAATAAAAAAAAAAAACTCAGTGGGATCAAAATCTAAAAATGCAGTAATAAGCTAATGTCAACAATAAATAAATTGAAATGTAACATCCCTTAAAAAAAATGAAATGTAACATTTTACCACAATTGCTTAAAAAAAAATTAGGTACAGTAGGTAAAAGCCTAATTTTCGGCAACATCTGCGGGGAAATTGGTTCTTATTTTTTGTAATCCGAAGACGGATTTCTAGGCCTTACTACACAATGTGAACCCTGCGCAGTTTACGCACATGTGAGTTTTTTTAAAAGATTTTGAAACAACAGCTGACAGCCAGGCCCACTAGCCCACAGCTCTACAATTTTTTTTCTTCATAAGGACACATTTTGTAAGAACACCGAGGCTGAAATTGCCTAAAAATTAAGAACAAAATAAGAACAAATTGAAATTTTAGATTAGGGCTTTAGTTAGAAAAAATTAAAAAAAACCCCAACAAATCTTTTTGTACCATATTTGCAGTAGGTGTGACAATATTATGTTATGCCATCTAAACAACAGTATAGTAATACAGTATACTGATGTACAAAAATTATTCTCTTTGCAACATGCAACCGTACATTTACCCAACTTCACATTAGACTTTATCGTTGTTATGGATCTTCCCCCAATCATAAACATCGTTCGGGCAGATCAAGAGAATGAGTTTCCCCAATCAATCGTAACTATTAACGTCAAATTTTTCAAATGTATTTTTGATGTAGGCCCATTTAAAACAGTACTATGGTATATAAAGTGCTAGTAGGCCTACAGTAAATGAATTCTCTTATTTACAGTTAACAGTATATTTAGTTTTTTAGTGCAAGTGTTGTCATGTAAATAGATAAGACCAAAGACTGAGTAGTATGTCAACTCTCTTAAGCGAAAAAGCTAAGCAAGGCCCATGGGCCTACGTCCTGAGGATTCATGCCTTGCTTGATTTCACCTCACTAGCACGCTATCTTTTCCCACCCAACCACACAAGTTAGCCATGCATGATACCCGGCTTACATGTGCCAACGTTTTTATTTAACCTCACATTGTTTGATTATTTGTAACTCAGATTATAAATGTGCAAGAGCTACCCTTGCACAGTTTGCAAATTGTCCGCGCATTTTGAAACTGTGCAACAATCAATCAATCAAAATTAACATTTATTTCCTTCAAAACGTAAATTACAATATTCATTGAAATGTAACAAATAAATAACATAAGTATTGAAGGGGGCACAATTCCGAAAAGCAGAGCTTGTGATGGATCTCTTATACACATCTAGATGTGTATAAGAGACAGATTTTACATTATGCGCTATATAAATTGACAATTATTATTATTATTAAATAACATATTATTCGTCAAAGCTTCATACCTTTCATCAAATTTATAGGTAAAGCTTCACTCAATCAAGATTAAGAAAAGAACGTTAGGACTTCACTACAACAGCAAATCTATTGACCTTAGGCTTCGACGTTGATAGTTAGCGACCTCTGAAGAGGGTGGGTCCAGGCTTCAAAGTGACGCCTGCATTAGGAAAATATTGAGCTATCGATGCGCTACTATTGGTAAAATCAATTTCTAGAAAAAAAAAATGAATTAAGTCTACAGCACCCGGTATTCCCAAGCGGTCTCCCATCCAAGTCCTAACCAGGCCCGACGTTGCTTAACTTCGGTGATCGGACGAGAACCGGTGTTTTCAAGGTAGTATGGCCGTAAACAAGGATGCACCAACAGTGCAACACTTCGATCATCGAGTTCATTGAATGATATTACACATCTAGATGTGTATAAGAGACAGTCTGTACAGTACACATCATACGGGAAAAAAATCCGTCATCGTCTTCTGTCTTAAATTGGTGAACCTCTGTTTGGCATGATAGACGACTATCAATGGATACTCCAAGGAATTTAGAGTGATCAACCAAAGGAAAAACATAATCATTGAGTTTGATCTGCAGCTGACCTAGTTCAATTGGCTTTTGGGTACTCCTAAACAATACAAAGTTGCACTTCTTTAAATTTATAGTGAGGCAATTTGCCAGAAACCATTCGGATAATTCTCCCAAGCTTGCATTCACTATACGAAATAATGATTCTAAATTTTTATTTCTACAAAATATAGTCGTATCATCCGCATATAAAAAGAAGGATAATAATGCTGAAGAATTATAAATATCATTTATATATAAGAGAAACAAAAGGGGGCCCAAGAGAGAGCCCTGAGGGACACCGCAACTAATAGGCAAGTAATCAGATTGTGAGCCACCATACGTTGTGCATTGGTAGCGGTTAGTCAAATAACTCCTAAAAAGGTCGTGAGGAACTCCACGGATACCATAGTGATACAGTTTAGAGAGTAGGATTGAATGGTTAATAGTATCGAACGCTTTTGATAAATCAATAAATAAACCTATTGCAAACATATTGTTTTCAAAAGCATCAACGATTTCGTTGGACACGTCAATTAATGCCATAGATGTGTCAAAGTTTTTACGAAACCCAAATTGCTTATCAAAAAGAATATCGTTTTTTTTAATAAAAGCATACGTTCTATTGTAAATAATACGTTCTAATATTTTGGAGAATGCAGTAAGAACAGATATTGGTCGGTAATTGGACAATGAATCCTTCTTACCCATTTTGAAAATAGGGGAGACTCTCGCTAATTTTAATTGATCTGGGAAAACCCCATTTTTTAAAGATAAATTAAATATATGGCAAAGAGGTTTAACTAAAAAATAAATTGATTGTTTTATAACTTTTGGGCTAAATTCGTCAAGTCCCTGTGCTTAATTAGTTTTAAAGCCATTAACAATGTCTATAATTTCAGTGTCCGATACTGGAAGCATAAACAATGAATTCAGGGTAGGTTGAGGTAAATATTTATTAAATTCGGGTCGGTTTGTCGGCATTTTATTAGAAAGGGTTGGGCCTAATTCAACAAAAAACTTATTAAACGCATTTGCGATTTCAGTTGAATCTTTCATAGGTTCACCGTTATCATCTATTATTACATCA